CTCACCAGTTCTTGTGCTTGTGGCTCGTTTGGAACTCGATCTGGCATGGATGTTTTATTGGCTCAATTCTTGATTCTTTACAGCCAATCACAAGCCTTGTTCGTCTTCAATAGTGTGAGCACCATGCAGCACAATGACGAGTAGCAGCCCACAGACATGCCAACGCCACGTAGCAGCCGGGTATACCGCTCCACACACTTCTTGAATGACGTGAATGTCGTTTCCGACGCAGCACGTAGCGCAATCACGCGCAAATCCATTTTCCATTTTTCGAGGTGGTCGCAGAATTGCCCAAATACTTCACGTGACATCGCGGGGTTCCAGAACTCCAAGGACCGTAAAACTGGCTGCCACAGTTGGCGATGGGTCTCGACCCGGTGTGCGACCATTTTGTTGATCGCCATCGTTGTTTGGGTACTCACACCAAACTCGAACTGCCGAGAGTCGGTTTTCAGGAAATTCGACGTGCAATTTCGGTTGAAAATGCGTCGAAATCGCGGAAACCGAGGACGCCGTGTCTATTTGTTCCTGTTAAAGAGTGCGTTGCATGTGGCCGAGGGAGGCAAAGTGCGCGCGATACCGCTGCGTGATGAGGTCTTGTTTCCCGTACAGTATTTCAGTATAGAGAAATAGCACACTATATCAAAAAATTGTTTGCCGCTGTCATTTGCTCTCGCTACAGAGCTCGCACGGCAACGTCACATAGCATTTTGGACTCCCCAAAGTGTGGCCTAGCACTCTGGCAAGTATGGGCGATTTCATTTTCAAACTTCATTCTGGTCCATCCGCCGGCGCCGTGGGCCTGTGTGCACCAAAATACGGTAATTATGGTTGTAAATGGCGAACGCCAATACTAACGACCGGCAACGCCAGAAAGACGACGCCGAGGCTCCTCGGGCACCACTGGCGCTGCTGCATTGTGCTCGAGGAGACTCCATCAGCATTCTCTACGCCATCATAAAGCGTCGCTCGGTCGCAATGCAGCGTTCCTCGTCGGTCTCCCTCATTTCCGTCGACGTGCACACATCGTCGAACCGAGTCCCTGCGGTCGTAGACGTACCGGTAGCACTGCTAGACCATGGTACTAATGTTGTTCGTATACTAGTACTGTGGTAGGTACATGCTTCATTCCTCATCATCGTCGCGCTCAATGCAGCCAAGGGCACCATTGATGCCCGGCCTTATTTTCGGCATAATAGGCACATGCCAAATACAGCTGTGTGAAAGCGCCGAATCGAACCCAGAGCGTGATGAGGCGCGTCAAGAAAAGCGGCCCGAGAACCGTGTGGAGCGTGATACACTGATACCGAAAAACGTGGCGAGACCGCGTCGTCGCTGAAGCTATCGACGCTTTGTGCCGTGCGCCACCGACAGTATTGCTTGCATCTCGCGCTGTGTACACCGAGACGTCGGCGACGAGCAGCACTGTCCATCCCTCGAAGAGCGTACAAGTACGCTCTTCGAGGGATAGAGCGACGCGACGGTGACGAGCGAATCGTTCCGTGCGGCCGGTGTCCATGTCGCGGCAGTGGCGGGTCGAGGCTTATCGCTAGCATAGGAATCTACCCGCTAGAGGATCGGAGGCCTCCGAGACAGCATCGATGGTTGCGCATCAGGAGATTCACGTGACGTCGACAGCCAACGCCAACACCTTGCATGGACGATCTTGGCACAACCAGGGAATAGAATTGTTTATTGCTTGTTTTCAGTGATCCTACGGCAGCAATCGGCGACACAGCGTTGTACATGTACGACGCTCGAGTGGGGCAATAGACGGCTCGATTGACGATTGGGAGTGGCGTGCCAAATGGCTATCCCTACTACTGTCTAACTGGACGCCAAAACCGCAACTTCCTTGCTGCGCCCGAATGTATTACCACAGTACTCGCAACCTGACATCGCAACACATCCATGCCAAGAAGACAAGTTGTTGCGGTAATATAATTAAGTGTACTATGGAGTAGTGGGTTAAATGTCGCGGATGTCGTGGCCGCTGCGCTCCGAGTCCGAGCTCCACATGAAGAACGAGCCGCGGTTGGGCGTGAGTATGACCACGTCTTGGTCCGTCGTCGTCTTGCGCCACTGCGTGTTGGGCGTCCGGAACGGAATCTGAACTAAGATCCGCCCAAACATGGAAAACTGATAGCCGTGGTAGAACCGGTCGATCGAGACGGTGCGTACAAACACCATGAGCACGAGCCCGACGAGCGAGAGGACCCAGTACCCCCGGAGCTGGCTCGGCCCGAGAACGTCGGTCACGAGCGCTTTCACAAGCAGAAGGCCAAAGGACCAGCTCGTCAAGATGAGTCCGTACATCGTGCCCATGTTGTAGACGCCGTACATGTCGGTGAGGAAGCACGCGATGAGCGCACTGCCGCCGCCGCTGACAAACTTGACCGTGCAGATGAGCCACTGGAACGCACTGTACGAGTCGAACCGGTCGGCAAAGATCGGCAGCGTGACGCTCTGGACCGCGAGCAGCAAGACGAACACAATCTTGCGCGCAAAGGCCGGGTTGGCGTAGAAGACGCGGATGATGACGTCCGAGAGAATCGGCACGAGGAGCCGGCCCGCAAAGCCGACGACCGACCCGATAGTGACGAGGTGCGCAGCGTCGTCGCGCGAGATCTGGTAGAGCGCGATGGTCGGGTCGGTGCTATTCGTGGGCGACGCGATCGAGACGAACGTGAGGCCGATCGTCGAGTTGGCGGCGAACGCGACGCAGAGGCAGAGAAAGTCGGTGGAGAAGATGCACTGCACCAGTGAGAGCGCCTTCACCTGCTCGTAGTAGTGCCGCTCGGTGCCTTCGACGGCCGCCGATGTCGTATGCTGCGCCGACGTCGCGGACCGGTCCACGAGGTTGAAGTTGACGAGCGTCATGCCGATCTTGAGGTACTCGTCCTGGACAACGTTGGCGTTCGGTGCGCGCTCGATCGGAATCCCGTGCATGTCGTGGCCGTGGATGACAAACGACGGCGGCGGCGTCCGCAGCAGCAGCGTACAGAGCCCAAGCTGTGGCGTCAGTAGCGCGAGGACGAGCCAAAAGATGACGTCGAGCGGTGCGGCAAAGGCGTCGAGGATCGCGTTGATGAAGAAGGTCCAGAACGCTTGGCCGAGCCCGAACCCGAGGATGCAGATGCCACTGCCCGTCCCGCGGAAGTCGGGAATCCACTTTTGACATGTTGCCATGGACGTCAAGCACACGTAGCCAAAGCCCACCGAGCAAAACACCGTTCTAATGTACAGTCGCGTTAGCGTCGAATGGCACGAGTGCATGACGTACCCGATGTACATGAGGGCCCACACGGCCGTTGAGAGCGCGATTTGCATCATGATGAAGCCGAGGAGGACGCCGGCGCTGCCGAGGCTCATGCTCCAGCGCGGCCCGTGGCGCTCGAGGGCAGGCCCAAGCGTCGCGACGGTGCACGTGAAGAAGGCGCCGCCGACGAGGAGGAGCCGATTGCCGTGGTCGGTCGCATCGTCGTCGGGGAAGAAGTAGTCGTTGAACGGCTCAGTCATGACGGCCATCGCGTACAGGACGCCGAGGGCGGCCTGCGCGAGGAAGGCCGCGAGGACGATGTAGACGCGGTGGAAGCGCAGGCACGGCGAGAAGGCGTACTGGCCGCCGGGCATCGGCCATAGGAGGAGCCACTTCTCCGCGCTCACCTCGGCGTTCGGCTTGGTGCGAACGGTGATGCTCCAGTACTCCCGCAGCCACGCGCGCAGCATGGTGGCGGAAATCTAATTCTGCTGCAAAGTGCAATCTCGACTTTGGATTCGCTTATGCAGTATGTTCTGTCCCGACACCGTGCGTGGTTGTCGCACTGTGCAGAGCTGTACTAGACTTGAATAGGGGAATACAAGGCAAGCGACGCGATGCCGCCTGGGCCTGAGCCGTGGGACACCTTGCCCAGATGTCTCGGAGGGAAACGCGAGCTTTCGTGCACGCTCAGCGCGCGACAAGCTTGGTCTTGTCCGCCGACTGCAAGCAGATGCGAGGTCAGGGAATAATATTGTGTCCCGCGAGACAGCGAGATGATCACAAACGAGTGATCTCCCGACGAGATTATGGTAGAGGCGACCGCTGGCTTGGCTCCCCCCCGCCCGAGGAATCGACGGTGGGAGCCAAAGGTACGGATGTCACCCTCGTGGACATGAAGGGCTGCTTGGATGAGGATATCCAGGCTCTTTTTGCGACCCAGCGTGCTGGCGGATTGAAGCCGACGGAGCTCTTTGGCTATTACGTCTGGTTCTGGTTGTCACCCCTGGTTGAACTCTACGCTGGAGACAATTGATTGCTGGTAGAAAGAACGCGCCAGATATTGCGCCAGATACATCTCATCTAGTGCTGAATGTTGGGGCGACTCAGATGCACATGGAACGAGACGAGGGGGAGATGACGCAGTGGTATCTTTGATGGAAAGACCGAGAGCGCGGAATCCGGGGCGTGACGCTCGCAGTAAAGAGGCGACGATCGCCGACACGACCGACGGCGGGCGTGGATTCAAACGCTTCTATTCCGTAGCCGCACTAAAAAGATGCAGTGATGGCGGTGCACGGCCATCCCACTGCAATGTCGTCGAGGCCGGGTACGAATCATGCGCCGCAACTATTTCATTGCGTCGAGCGAGCTGTAGAGGTAGACCCGCGAGCACTGCTTGTAGAAGGGTTGGGTAGAAGGGCCTGTCCACCAGCGACATTGGAAAGCAGAAGCGGCAAAGATATTGTAGCAGCGGGTGGTGCCCCTACCTTGTGGAGAATACCGCTTAACCGACCAGTACTACACGACAGGCGGACGGAAAGGAACACGGTGGTAGTGAAGACAGATTCTTTGGGCTGTCAGCGACCGAGCGTCACGTGTCGGATGGAATTACCGCGCACGGTTGAGGGATTCGAAACGGTGGCCACGCGTCGATATGCTGCTTGGTATCGCAGGCGAAGAGAAGAATCTTGGTCATGAGTGTGGAGTTGGAGCTCTTGGAAGGTTGCTTATCTTGGCCGGCGTTTCGGTGTGCCGTGGTCTGGCCTTTCCGTGAGTTTGAGGCCGTCGAGGTCTAGCTCAGCATCAAGACGCATGTACGCGCTCTAAATATCGTTGCACAGGATGAGAACGATCCCCAAGCCTGGCGGGACAGTCTGTGCGACCTTGAGCTTAAAGTTGCATGACGCCTTGACCATGAACTTTCCGTAATAGTGTTCGTGATGCTACTTGGTGAGGGCAGTCGCCACGTCGTCTCCCAATCAAGCTCAAGGCCCTCGCGCCGAGATACAGTCCATGCGAACCTGCTCGTCTTGGCGCGCATCGCGAGCAGGATCGTGTACGCATATTGCCTTGGTTCAAGACGCTACAGTATGCATGCTATGCAGAGTACGAGTTGCAGTAGCCACAACATGCAGTCGTAACACCTTCCACGATGGCATCCGTCCAGCGTGGAGAAGCCTCGCCTTTCTGCGCTACTAGTAGTGCGGAAACCACGCCAACGCAGCAGGCACCGACGCTCTCATTCTCGGATTTGCTCCATGTCGCTCGCAACGCTGGTCGGTGTCACGGCGGTCCAAGGCCAAGCCCTCGCACAGCTGTCGACGGTGACACTTGGCCGGGGCTCGTATCGACTTCGAGGGACGGAACTCGGAGACGACCGGGCTTTTGGTTTCCTTGCGTTGTACAAGGACGAGGTTCTCGACCAAGCGCTGACCAAGCACGCAGCATCCGCAAACGCTACGGCGGCGGTAGCGTTCGCGGATGCTGCGTGCTTGGTCAGCGCCTTGTCGAGAACCTCGTCCTTGTACAACGCAAGGAAAACCAAAAGCCCGGTCCATCTCGAGCGCCACGGACTACCTCGTTGTTGTTGAAGTGGGTCGTCTATTGCAATAGATAAAACTATGCTAAATACAATTGTCGGACTTTCTTCGATGTGTGCACTCGGTTGAGGATCTTGATTTAGGCAGGCGGAGGCGGGAGCGCGATTCGCGGGACGAGGTGACGTCGCGGCCACTCGTGTTGAGCGAGGAGCCGGAGAAGCCGACGAATAGCAGGCTGCTCGGGCTCTTGAACGAGGCTGTGGTGCAAGTGCAGTTGAGCGACACTTGTCGCCTTGACGGCAATCGTTCATGGACTGGGCAGCGGTATTAGGTCGGCGCGAAAGACGCGATCGTTCCGGGCTCTCCAGACCGTGAACCAGACGCAGGCGCGGAGCACGTGCCGGAGGTAGCGGAACGCGGCTTGGTGCATGTTGGACGCCGTCTAGGGCGTCGAGTAGAGGTAGCCTGAGAGCGTTGTCGGCAAGGAGGTTAGGGTGGAGGAGGCCCAAAGGGACCGTGACGGCGTGAAGCGTGCTCCACACGTCCTTGACGAAGTCCGAGTCTATGAGGAAGTGGCGGTACGTCTCGTGCTCGGTGCAGAAGAGGCACGCTTGGTCGGCCCTGTCCAGCCAGTGCAAATGGGCGCGGAACTTGACCGCGCAGAGCATCACTCGGTAGACAAAATCGGCGTACTTGGGGTAAAATGGCGTCGGGTAGTCGGAGCTTGGCTGCGGCAGCAGGCGTCTCGTCTTCATCGACGCCCAGGTGGCGGGTCGGAAGCTGCAAGCGTGTCTTTGGCGGGGCATGACGTCGGCGGGCTTCGGCGGGCGTCGTCTGGGTCAACAGCTTGGTCACCTTGTGGAGTCGAACCAGCCATGGCGGCTTGGAAGTCGGGCTTGGCACGGGGCCACACGTGAAGGCGTCGACGGTCGCTGCGAGGTGGGCCGAGGTCACGGCGGCGGCACTTTGCCGTCACCGCTTGGATGAGGCGTCGAGTTCTTGTCGCGAGCGTTTCTGTCGGGGCGGCGGCGAGCATCAAGGTGTGTACGTGCTGGGCTTGAGTGATCCCGATCTTGGCCATCATCCGTGCGTATTGAGTGCGCCATCTTGTGGTTTTTTATATGTAACTACAGCTATCTACCGGGAGAAACTGGTTGGACCAAAGCGGTTGTTCGTGGACCAGCGGCGACGGTGCCGGGAGCGTGCTCGGCCCCACGCGAATGTCGAACCAGTACTTGAGCATGAACTTGAACCAGTCGGGCACTGCCTTTGACGTAAGCAGGCGCCGTATCCGGGGGAGCGACGGGTCGGCAAAGTTGCCCCACGGCGCGTAAGCGTTGGCACCGACAGCCATGCTTGGTGACGACCAGGCCGGGACCTGGGACGTCGTGAGCGCGGCCTGCATGTAGCGTAGCGAGTGGCCACGGTGACGCGCTAACCACGTAACAAGCGCCGGCTTGAGGCCGAGGCCAGCTTGATGTTTTGGCGCGAAGACGATACTTTGATGGAGGAGCCGGTGGCCTTGCGCACCCGCGCCGATGACCGGCGGCTCGCCGTTGATGAACTGGAGGATCATTTTTCGATGATTGCGGCCGTCGTGGTGTCCGGTGCGACCCACGCGAGCTGGCACCAGAGAACCGGTAGGCAGACCGCTTGCAATATGATGGCCTTGCCGGCCAAGGTCGTCGACTTGTGTCGCCTAGAGGAGTCGCGCAGGCGACTCATCGCGTAGTTGCAGCGAGCGTTGCGCGG